TGAAAATGCAAAGTTGTTATATATATATCGTGCATGTACAAAGTTTCTTTCTCACTGCAAACGTGTTATACAGAATATTGCAGAATCATTGTTAGAACGAAGAGGAACAAAACTGAGTTTGAGCGTAATTACGCATTCGATTTACAATTTTTCTTTTCTTTTATATGTCGTTAGATGATGTTTAAAATAATATAATTCTGTTTCGTTTTAAACGTTGTCATTATTTGTAAATCTGTGACGGAAGTGACGGTGAAACGGTTGAGCAATTCGTAGAACACTGTTTTGTTTCCTTTGTGTTTAACATCGTAAACTGTGTTTCGTTCGCGTAGCGTTAAAAAAAAATTTGTTTGTTGTATAATAGTCGATGAGATGTAAACATAGCTAATACAGAAGTCAAAAAGTATTGTTTTATAATAGCAATAAATGTAAAGCAGTTGACGGGATTCGTGATTTCTTGATTTTATATCATTGTAATATTTATGAAATTTATTATGGTTCCCGTAAGCTTTTAAGAACGGTTGCACTCAATTGTGCGTATATAATTTATTGGGAGCTGCTGATATTCTCATGACTACAGTGACTATTGTAAATTTGAATGTTATTATTAACCTACGAATACTATTAAATTGGCTGCTGTAATATAACTTATAAAATATATATGTATTGTGCATATGTACGGGTGCGTGCGACGTTTAAACTTAAGTTTAAATCTATAATATGTAGATACAAAATATATATGGAAACACACAATCTGAAATTATTTGTGTACAACTTGTATATTGAAATGGAATTGAATTTATTAAAAATTTTATCAAATTAGAGGTTAAAAAGAATAAAAGATGGTTTAATTACATGCATTCTACTTCATTAATTCGAGGCCACCAGGCTATGTACCAAAAAGCAAGGGTTCCCAAGACCTATCTGTGTATCATTTCCTAGCAATGATATGGTTATTGACCATACTCAAAGATAAAGAAGATACCTTCAGAACTTACGTGGTAAATTTAAAACACTTGTGGATAATAGTATTACTAACAAAACAATTATGTATGTGCATGGTATAACCAAAATTGTAAACAAGTCTCAGAAAAGTTAAAATAACTGGTTGTAATTTGAATTAACAGGTGTACAACTAGTATTTGCCCATCTGTTTATTATCAAAATATTCGTGGTCTTAGATTTAAATTAAGCGTGTTATATTTGTCTCGTTCCGATAAAGGTGGTGGCCTGCCAGAACATTTTTTTTGCCATAATTTGCCGGGTCTTTCAACAAATTCCATATAACTTCTCGGCTTCTTTTCACAATTTTTGAAATTTAAGAAACATTCAAATTACGACTTTTCAGCTCAATGATCTCTCTAATCTCACTCTCATTTAACTTACAGTGAGTGTAAAAAGTATTCGTACACTAGTCAATTTGAACAAAAACTTTGCAGAACTTTGTTTATTACAAAAGTATGTTGACAAAAACATGCATAAATGTTCTTAGAAATTTCTGGAAAAAATGTCATTAACAACAAATTATTTATTTATATTTATTATGAAAATATTAATAAATTTCCAGAAATTGGCGTGAAATATGCGTGAAATATAAGTATTAATTTTGGGTTTCACAAGTTCAATAAAATTATCGATAACTGTATCTATTTCTCGAGAATTTGCACGTTCTTGGTATGTTACAAATTTTGTTATTTTACGTGACACTATTCCATGCAGTGTTTTAAATTTAAATATCCACGACTTATCTGCTGCAAATGCTGACAAATCAATTTTGGGGAATTCAATTTTGCATTAAAAATGAGTTTTTCAACAAAATTTACACGCAGCTTCATAGACCTCAAGACACGATATAACTTCTATTTCAACTATTTTTTTATATCTTTTGTTGTTTACGACTTATAAGCACGTGCGTAGAAAGGGCGGTTGGGATAAAAGGGTTGATATCTCCCTCAAAGTGCAAAACGGGCACGAACGAATTACATCTGTCTTCTTAGATAGGTCTAATAAATGTTTATGCAAAGGTTTATCAAAATCGGAGTGTATCAGTTTGCGATGTTCCCTTGTAAGTGTAAGTTCCAATTTCAATTGGGAAGATTGGACCATTGCATAAGGCTACATCAGAGGACCAATTGATGATCCACGGTTTGGATGGAAGATCCTGGAATATGGAATATGGAATAATGGAAAGGCCCAGCTGGAACAATGGGACAACGTGGAGTAATTGCATCGTAAGTACCATCCGAATCTTTGCGTTCAATAATTATGTAATTTAATTCTCAAGCTCTAATGTCTGATTCCAAATCCCGATTCTAATTTTTCTAAAAGCAAAAAAAAAAACAATATGTCGATTGAAAATGAGGCTATCTGTACTGAACAAAATCAAACTCTTTCACTAGAATTCTTAATAAAATTAATTCCAAATACCTTTGATGGCGATAGATGTAAATTACGTAGTTTCATCAAAGAAGTAGTAGTCTTTGTGTTTAAGTATCGCGTTAATTCGATGTATTTAAAAGTAGAATACAATTCGTAACCCAGTATTGTTTTTCGTCATACGTAACAGACCATAGAATCTTCGGTTGTCGCGTCCGCTACGCAAAAACAGTACGGGATAGAAAAACCGTCGCTCTCGGGTTTTTTCTAAGCATCACATGATGTTTATCATGTTTGAGCATCTTCTTCAATAAAGACATTTTTTGAAAATATCTCGAGATCTAATAATTTTTTTGCCATGGCACCCTAATCATTTTTTACGTAGAATGAACAGAAGAATCGATCTGTGTAAAAAAAAATATGCATTTCTATTTAAAGAAATTATGCAATTGTTAATTGCACATGCACTGCTGCATCTAAACAAAATTTAAAGGCCTACAGATGTAGTGCTCTTCGAACCATTTATCTTTCTCCTTTGGCATTTTTGCGTAAATGCAATAATAACGGAGTTATGACTTGAAACAATTGCGTGGACCACCCTGTATATTTAACGTCTAGTCTTGTCTCTGTTTCAGAACAGCGTGGCGCAAACCACCGAGCCGACGGCCAAGCGGCCGTGTTTTCCTGCCAGACGCCGGCGAGACGGTTTAAATCGCGTACTTTCGCGTCGTCTGTAACCGTAGTAAGAGTCAGAAACAATAAACTAAAAGAAATTTACCGTCCAGCAATTATTTTTCCAACGTCCTTTCCCTCGTGATCCGGATCCCCGTTAGACGGGGGTCCAATTCCAATTTCAACCACTTCTATTTTACGTAAAAAGTCGAATTACGATTAAAGCAAGAGAACAAATTGTCATTCATTGTAACTTAACATCTTGACCAGAAATATCTGAACTGCTACTAAATTTATATCAAGATAAGAAATGTTTAGATCAAGTGGTCTCATTAACATGGTGACATAGAGGTGGTCACTGATTGTGAGTGTGGCCACCTCTGCGGATACTCGTCACCCCGGCACAAGTCGCAGGGCCGCAGTGGTTGCCCACGTCATATCGATGATGGACGTTCCCTGCGGCCCTACGAACGTGGCTCCGGAGCCTCGATTCAGCAGCCGAAGGTCGTGCTCGGCCACCTAACCCAATAGCGCCTCGCCACGGCGGTTGGCAAGCCAGTCCACCTCGAGACCACCCCCACGCAAGCCCCATACAATAGTGATGCACGATTTATTGGGTGGAAGTCCCGTGAGAACTATCGTGAACTCATGGGACACGGTCCGGTATCCGTGAACATCCTTTAGCACAAACCACTTTTGAACCTATGGCACTTGTGCCCCTCACCTCACATGGATCTGATTAGGCATGGTGCGGCGGGGGTTCTGTCATATTTTATAAGAATTCCTTGTTACCGACTGACGCGCTGGAGGATGATCGCCGTGTGGTTTTAGCCGGCAAGAGTCCGGCACTACCTTGCAGTCAGTCTCTTGATACACGAGTCTTGTCGTGTCCATGAAAATTTCCCCTTGTTATAAAAAAAAAGCTCTTCTTTCCCATTTTCCCTTCTTGTGAGCGCGTTTTAAGTTACGAAAATGAAGCATAGAGAAAAATATTCTCCGTACTTTACAATAAATAAGCAAAAATGCAGATATTGAAAAAAGTATTTTATTTATTTCACGTTCTTCATTACATTACATTCTCCACATGGCAGTTATATTGCAGCGGCATACAATGATTTTAAATTCTTGTTTCTAAATTCATTTCATTATGTATGAGTTTATAATTTTCCATTAGATACTTTTCATCCGTGAGTTTAAGGATACTATTAATTTGGAAGTTATGAGCAAAATTCGAAATTTAATTTTATACTATATCACTAATGACATTATTTGTAATGGAAGTAAACATGCAGGACAAAATATACAAATACGCATAACTAAACAAATTTGATTTAATAATTAAACTAATTCATAATTGTATTTGCAATGATTTCCTATATTATTATTATTTGATAAAATTCATTTATGGGATAAAATTTAGAACCGCAGTGTATGTCTAAATATTCTGCTAAATAACAAATTGAACGATTTAAAATATATTACAAAATTACTTAAATAATCACCATACAATAATCCACTGAAGTAGTCGCAAAAATTTTTATGAAAAATGTGTTTTAAAAAAGTCGTAACTGTAATTTAACATATGCATCTAACTATTGTATAAAGTTTTTAAAATAATGGCTGAGGGTGTCACATACAATAATGAAAATAATGTAGCATTATTCAAACCATTATTTCTGGATGAAAATTTAATTCCAATTATACTTCATAAATATACAATTTAATAAGAGACTTGATATTCTAATTTACATTAATATTTGTGGTATTTATAGGAAATATGTAATATCATGTAAGTAGTATGTTCCGATGTGTTTTGTTGTATTTCAAATGTTAAATATTGTAATAGCATTTATATAGTATACAAGTAATTTTATTTATGAATCTACATAATAGTTTTGTTTAATTGTTAGATATTCTGTAAACAGATTTCAACACTTCAAATAATTTTGCACGCATATTCATAAATAAATTTATTTGTAATGTTTGAAATTTGCACATGAAATAAAAACACCCTAAATGTGTTTTTTATAATCACTTGTTAAACTTAAGAAAACGAAACAAAAATAAGGCAAAAGAATGTTATATGCATAAGAAATGTTAATATGAAAATATTAGATTTTCATATTCCTATGATTTCATAATTGAATTTTTATTTTATAAATTGCAAAAATATGTCATATACTAAAACAGCTTTATTTTGAATCACAAGAGTTTCTGCGACAAGCATTGGATCAGCTATGAATGGTGATAAGTAATTAAGAATGGTCTAGGAAGTTTTTAAGCAGAACTTGTTTAGAACATACTGCAAAATTATATTAAGATAAGCTACTTACATTACCGATTAATAAAAAATATAGTACGAATGGTGATAACTGAAATGTTTGCGAGGTTATGATATAAACAGAAATTTTGTTATTAACAAAATATGATGATAGAAGAGATGAGTTCTTTTTATTTCCGTGGACTATTTTTATTGAATGTTTCAGCTGCCTCTAATTTCTGTCGATGACGCTTCCTTACCTCGTTGCATTTTTAACCATTCAACAAATTCATCAAGCATTACTGGCCCTGTAAAAACAATTGATATGACGAATTTACACAGTGTACGAAATTTTTACCAATAGTATTATAAAAATACATACATGCTCCATCTAAATCATAATTAGATACATCTTGATTGATTGTACGAGAAAATTCTAAAATGTTGCACCACTGATCTTTATTAATCACTTTGTACTTTGATTGATCTAGGAACTGAGCAAACTGTGTGAACAGTGGCCAATGTTTTCCCAAAAGTAACTGTAACATAACTCTTGCAGTCTCCATATCCATGCTTCTTTGATCTTTGTCCTGAAATGTAATAATATTAATAATACGTATGTAGAACTTTTGTTAGTGCAATTAAACAAAATACATCACAGTGGAATAATAGAGTATGATAAATAATGTAAAATATTTTTTTCACTACGCTTGAAATAAAGTTATAACCTGTTACTAAGTATCTAGGTGTAGTCGGGTATCCGAGATCTCGGGTTCGGGTCGGGTCGAAAATTTTATTCGGGTATCCAAAGTTGGGTCGGGTACTTAAAGTCGGGTCAGGGGCTGGAAAGTTATTCTGATACTCGAATTTTAAAACACGGCGCGACAGTTCGAACAGACCATGCCTGTAGAAAATTTGTAAAAATTATAGAAGTACAATCAGATATAAAAATTTGGTCAAAAAAGAAACAAATCATAATATGTGAACATACTGGAATATTTCAAATTTTTAAATTCTCGATACGATCCGAACCTACCTGACTCGATTTCGGGTATCCGCACAGTAGACCAAACAGCTATTCTAACTGGTAAAAAATAAAAAATTGAAGGTTCTTAGTATGAAAAAATTTGTCTATCATAAAAAGATGACCTGGTTTTGTGGTTTTCAATATTTTTCCATCTCCGTCAGTATTAATGTACGCGTTCTGTTGCAAACATTGTTAAATATATTCTTGTTATGTGTTGTTTCGAATAGTTTAGTGAAAATATTATTGAGAGGTAAGTCGATGTTTCAACATATTTTGTTTTATAATTCATTCCATAAGTTGTTAGTAATAGTATCTCCATTTTGATTAGTATATTACAAAAATTCTACTAATATTGATGGGTCATACTAGCCTCTTAATGTTCAGAATTTGAACGAATTTGCTATAATTTTTGTTTTTACTGGTTCTCTACTCTCTAGTATCTCTATTATATGTCTACTATCATAATTCGTTTTCACTTAAATTTATGTGTAAGTTTTGCAATCAATTTATAAGTTCTGTTTTTGGTTACAATATCCATCTCAAGGAAAGAATTTTTCGAGGCTTAGAGTAAAGGAGACGCGAATAAAAACACTGCAATTTTGGCACATGTTACAAATAAGTTTAAACTAAGTGAAGATGAGGAAAACACTACCTCATGCACGTGAAGAAAATAGTAAAACATTAAATTGCTGTTTTGCTGATAAATGGAAAAAATGTAACAAGTCATTACAAATGTTTCAAATGCAACATCAAAAATGATTGGATGAAACTATAGTTTTTATATCTACTGAAATGGTAAAAAATGAAGGAAAAGCATTTTTTCGAAAATCCATCTCTATCATCAATTTCAAGCATCAACAAGGATGTCACATATTGCTTTGCAATTATTCGTTGGACACTATCTTCTGGATATGTGATTAAGAGTGATGCTTTCCAAGAATATGCTATGGTTATAGCTACAAAATTCGTAACATTGTATTCATATGTCATTGAGCATACATAAAATTTTAATTCATGGAGTAAGCATTATAAAAAATGCTGTTCTTCCCATAGGAATGTTGTTGGAAGAAGCCCGGGAGTCGTAAAATAAATATTTTTAAAAATATCGAGAATTAAACACACTGAAGATGACAAGAAAAATAACAATGGAAGATTTATTTTTTTTTCTTTACTGTTTTCCTCAGATCCAATGATATCCACTTTATCAAAAATCAAATTTATTATCAATCTGTTGATAAATCTAGAAGCTATAGCTTTACAGAGATCTTTTTCAATTGATGAGGTCTCTAATGATGATGACTCTGATTCTGATGACAAGTTTTCCACTTTATACAGTTCAGATACAGATTAGGCATATGCAGAAATATGTAAATTAATATCACTGATATCTTAATTATAAACATACGTATGTAATAAAATATGAGTGCATAAGTGTATACGTAAAACAATGTAATTTCTATAACCATGAACATCAACGTCAACGTTCTTAAATATAAATAGCAGACACGGTATTTATCTTAAATTTTTGAAATCTATTACATATAATTCAAATAACTCCGAACAGATTAACAAATTTTTCTCGCGATTTACATCACTATAAATTTGAAAAATAAGGTTTTCCCTTTGCAACAACACCTTAAAAGATGGCATAAAAAGCTGTCTCTGGTGAATAGGATTTTTTACAAGCTGTTTGGCCCACTGTGACCCATCTCGATTTTAGGTGTACGAATTTTTCGAGTCTCAGCCCGATTTCGACCCGATCTGAAATTCGGATATTCGACATTTCAGGTACCCGCCCCTCCCTTCTAGATACATCCTACATATAATATTAAAAGATGTATGAACTAGAATACTTACTCTAGCAAAATCGTAAGCATATCTGTAAATTCCTTTAAAAGTATGTGGATCATTTAATAGATTCCTTAGGTACTCAAGTTTCTGTTGTATTTTACTAATAGAATCACACTGTAATTCCGAAAGGCCTTTTAACCATTCGCTTAGTGTGAAAAAACCCATTTGACGGGCATTCATTTTATATGCAAGAACAAGCATTACTACATTTTCAGGTTCTACACCAATATCTTCGCAAAACTTTTCCATTCCTTCAGGACCAAGTGTGTCTGAATCATCAGGTGTTGTGTATTCTCTAAACCATGTAATACATCTCTTTTGGGAAAAGAATGAAGTACTTGAGACATCTTCTGTTTTAGTATAACGTCTTGCACTGAAAAAGAGAAACATTATATTTATTGTTTTAACTAATATAAGTAAACATTATAAATTAATACATTGAGTGCCGGACCCGCGAAAACGCGGCTTTCTGAGTCTATCGCTTGAGCGCTGGCCCCGCGATAATGTGGAACAGTATTGTTTCTTTTAAATTACGCAATGTCTAATGCATTTAAATTATATATTGAGTTCAATGCTAACATTATAAAATATAAAAAATTTTTACATGCTGTTGATGCCGGCGCTCAATGTATTAAGCTGTAATCAATGACATTGTTTCATAAATTTAAAAATATTATTTTAACAAATGCTGAAATAAATGTGTTTATGATAATATTACTTCAGTGATTAAAGAAAATATAAAATATTTTACATTATATTGTTGTATAAATGACTGTACTTTCAGTGCATATAAAAAAATTTTCAAATTATTTTGTGTTTACTTCAGGCACTTGTAGATTATTATATGTAATTACGATTTTCCAAAACAAAATTACATTAGAATAAAATAAAATTATATTATCCAAAACAATATGCAAGTGTTAATGTAAAATGTAATTTTATAATACTATTCTAAATATGTACAGGTAGCCCTCCTACAACACGATTCATAAATTGCGGGAGCCCTCCTACAACACAGCATCTTATAACATGGTTTCGCTTTAACACGATATGACAATTGCAAAAACCTTTGTAAAACACTATACTTATACAGCACTGGATAACATGATTTTTGCTTAACATATTTAAAAACTAAATTACCTTGTAATAATGACGCGAAGGGATAATGAACTACAGTCGCTTTACATGAAAATATATAAACAAATTATAATTTATTAAATTAAGGTTGAGTTAAATTAAAATAATATTTCTGGTTTTTGTTTTGTTTTGTGTTATACATACATTTATATTTTTCATAAAAATTAAGTTGCTTATGTAGAATTAAAAAAAAGATTTGTTTTTAATAAGTTTTCGGAACGTAACTCCCCTTTTTATACTGGCTCTGGATCTCATATAACATGATTTCACAAAATACAGCACTTTCTAGGAATCTATCTACCGTGTTATAGGAAGGTTACCTGTATTTATAATACTTTGATATAATTTACCTAGATGTATGTCTAAGTCGTTTTGACGGATGTCTTGGTATAGCTTCTTCATGAGCACTAGGTGTCATTTCAATTGATGTATGATGATGATTTGTGCTAGAGGGCGCTCTACGTTTGCTGCGTGGCATCCCTCTTTTAACTAAAATCAAAATTTATTGTTTTTACAAATAGATATAGTAAAATGTACTTTAAATCGTAAATAATATTTTAATATTCCTAAGTTAATATATTATAACAAAATAAATAGTTCGCTAATGAAACATTTAATCTTGTTTACATTGTAATTTTTAATAAATATTAGTTACCACAAATTATATTCCATCTACATTATTTTTATACTTATATATACGCAATAAATTCTTTTAAAAATTTAAGAACATAAATATTTTTATAGGGAATATTCTAATTTTACTGAATCACAAAAAAGAAACAAATATGAACTAACAAAAGATGATCTTAATGATAAATATAAAAAAAAATGACATGAACAACTTGTATGTGTAATAATGCAGCATAAAATGATAAAATACAGTACTTACCACGCAGCAAAGACGTAAGTAATCAGAAAAATTAAGGAGATTCAAAGGATCCGTAATACAATTGGTTTGTACTTGCTAAACTGACATCTCCTTTCCGTGTTACAAAATCGAGTATGAGGTTAGGTTCGACGATTAATTGAAGTATCACGTAATTTTCAACTTTTCTTACACTAGTTTTAACTGCTTTGTACATGTGATATTGCAAACAAATACCTAAGAGTCATTAATACATCGTATAAGTAGTATTAATTCTGAATTGCGTTCGTAATGTGGAAATAGAAGGAACAAGTTACTATATAAAAGAGCTTATGTATGCAAATTATTTTCAGCTGCAACACGAGTCGCATTTTAATGTTAAACATTCGCAGGAGTGTGGATCAATGATTACCACATAATTGTAACGAAATATATAAATGTATAATGAATCGAAGAGACCCTCCCTACCTTCTTCAACGAACCACTAGAGTAATTGTACCAGAAATGTATTTCTCAGTCAAAAGTCAACATCAATATAAAACTTGTTTTGCAGTTCGGTCTATAAAAATAATATTAAGCATAGTGTCAGCGTCGTCAAATATTTAGCTAATCTATTAATTTGGATATTTTGTACTACCTAAACGCTGCACGGTTAAATAAAACTTTTCACAGCTCCGTTTTATTTCATTTTATTGCCGTTTCGAGTCAGCATGTCTTTTCCGCAGGGATGCCAAATGCAGATCTATTTCTCACTAGTAAGGGCAACTATTAAAAAATAAAAAACAAATATCGATGCTGCGCGTCATTTCGATACTATCGATAACACGAGTTAACGCGGAAATATATGCAGTGTTACGATTTTCGTCTACACTAGAGATGGCGTGAACTGCTACTTTTGAATCACTCGTGATTCGATCACGTTCATTCCCAATTATTCCAAATAATTTTTCACAGTGATTCGTGATTCTTCGAGATCGCTTTTGATTGGTGGGGAGATTCTTTTCACTTTTCACGAATTATGTCCTTAGACTGTATATGTATTATATTATAATATGGTCTAAAAGCAATATTAACATAATTTTCTTATTAGGAGAAAGAAAAGGAAAAATTAAAAGTGATAAATAGATGTAAGTATAAGTTTTATTTCTCATTGTTTCAACATTCGTTTCATAAATGTTCGTAAAATTTTTCGACAAAGTAATGTATACGCAAAACTAACCTGTTTGTAATTTAAAATTCTAACTTAATTCTTTATAATATAAATATATACAAAATGTCATATTAATATATAAAAACTTACTATGAATAATGTTAGAAATTAAATTTATATATATGTCACTTATGTTATAACTTTATGATTAATATTATTATAAAAGCAGTTCAGCAAAGTTTGATTAAGCATATAATAAATATATTTATAATGATGTAACAATAACAGAATATAACAAAAATTTAGTTAAAATCATTGTGTTTGCGTATGAGTATATTACATGATAGATTTAAATTATTAAAAGAGCCAATTATAGCGAAAACAGCTATTATGAGTAAAAACCTACCGTACATTTTAATAGGCAAAGTAGGAAATATTAGATGAATTAGCGAAAGGATATTTTCAAAAGCTGGACTAATTTAAAACCATCAAAATTATCTATGTTGTTATTTTTAAATAACAACCCAGACCTAACCCAGCCTTTCTCATTGCTTAGACTACATTATTGTACAATTTAAATTTGGCACATTTGTAATTCTTTGAATTTCCACTGAGGGGAGTTACCGGCAGTGTGGCCAGATCGGGCATAATTGAGAGCATCGAAATCGACAATAGTGACGACGAACTTCCTTAGTGTCTAACGGAGCGGTAGGGATAGCAGGCATATACTACCGCACGAGCCACGTGTACGTGAGCTCGGCACTTCGCACAATTACGGGAAAACGATAAAGGACGCTAGTGTGAGCCTTTCCTTCTTGCTCTGGTAAAACAGAAACAGCTTAAATACGATCACAGACGATGTAGACGAGTAGACCTTTCACCTAATGTATTTTTTCGGCTCGTTTTTCTGGGGTCCCGGGACCCCATTACCATTTTCGTGTCACTCGCAACGTTACCAACAGATTTAGAAATTAACACAAAAAGTAGTGAGACAGAAAATGAAATTACAAAAATTTTATTATTTTTTAACGGAATGAAAGCAGTACGGTCCAGAATTGGACATTAATCGATTAATTTAATTGGAGTAATCAATCGATTAAGATTATTTCAAGATTTCAAGATTATTAAAATACGTAAGGGGCGGGAGACACACCAGGGTAGTCGCCGCCTCGCGAGGGATGGTGCAATACCCTCTAACAACCCGGATGGCCAGCTGACGGTTGACGCGCCGCAGCATCTCCGTGCTGTACCGGCTGGTATCCAAGTTCAGGGCCCAAACTGAGACCCCGTAGAGGGCGATTGAACGCACCACCTCCACGTAGAGGCGGTGGACTCCAAGATCTGGCCCAATATTCGTGAGAAGGCGGCCAAGAGCGGCAGTCGCCTTCTCTGTGGATTTCGGCGACGACGGTGGCCACCGCTAACTCCGCGGCGCGCGCTGTCCCTCTCCAGTCTGTCCCGCTGACGAGCACCAGCGTGTCATCGGCATAACACGCCAGCGCTTCGTCAGCGGGCAGAGGAGCCCACAGTACCGAGTCGTACCCGATGTTCCATAGCAGGTATCCCAAAACTGACCCTGCGGAACACTGCTATTCCCCTCCGCAATATAACTCCATCCCGACCGGTGCAACTGATCCACCTGTCACTTAGGTAGGACCCGACAATTCACTTCTGATATGGGGGCATGCGATGGTATTCTAGTGCCCCCATGATCGCCTCCCAGGGCAGGATGTTGAAAGCATTGACGATATCGAGTGATATCGCCAAAACCACACTACCCCGTGAGGTGGCCCCCTGAGAGAGGTAACGGACCAGCTCGATGGCGTCGAGCGTGGACTGTTCCCCTCTAAAGCCGAATTGGCAGGGGGCCAAGTCGGGCCCTACCGTGGACAGGTGGTTGGTGAGGCGGGCAGCCACTATGCGTTCAAAGAACTTGCCCGCCTCATCCAACAAACACACCGGCCGGTACGCGGAGGGCGTACCTGCTGGCCTTCCCGCCTTCTGGAGAAGGACCAGCCGCGTCGCCTTCCAGGGCGAGGGGAATACCCCTCAGCGGAGACAACCGCTGAGCAGCCTCCCGAACCTCAGACTATAGACGCCAAGGACACAGGCCAACACCTGGCCGGGCACGCCGGACTCGGAGCAACACGCCGAACCCTCATCCGACAAACGGCCCGGCCCATCTCCTCGGGGATGATCTCCAGTTCCTGGGACCAGATGGTAGGGTCCCAGGGTCCTCGAGGAGGTGGTATTCCGTCCCGGTTATACCCCGGGAACAGGGTTGATACCACCTCCTCTACAAACTGGAGGTCGAGGGTCTCCGTCAGAGAGAGCCCCCATGGACGAAGCTTGCCCATCACAAGCCTACACGGGCGCCCCCACGGATCCCTATTAATCTCTCTGAGGAGATCCATGCATGCCTATGCCTTGGCATCTCGGATGGCGCGCTGGAGGGCTCGCCGCTCCACGGCGAACTCCTCATATATGCGCAGCATCCACGGTCGGGCGTCGACGACGTGATCTTCGGGCGCGTGTGTACCTACGACAGACGCGCGCACACCGAGCGTTGCACTGCTCGGAGTGCAGCGACCACCAATACGCCGCGCCCGGGCTTCTAGGAGGCCTGGCCTGGGGCATGGAGGATCGCACACCTCTTTAAACTTACCCCGTAACCACTCGGTCTCCAGCTCAACGTCGTCGACGGGTCCACCCTCTGGCTCGGACCAGGCTGCGACCGTTGCGGCTGCCTCCGCCATCTCCCAATTCACCCTTTTGAGGGGCCATTGCGGGTGGGCTAGAGCATCTGCTGCACGCCTCCGGCACTGGGGCTCCCTCTGGGATGGCTCTCACGGTCATGGTGATGTAGAGGTGGTCACTGAGTGTGGCCACCTCTACGGCCGCGAAAGTCCATAAAGTGAAAGTTCTACTCGTATACCTCGTCTGTGATACGACCTCACGATAATCGGCATACGATTCCAAGTCTCGACTGTCCCAACATTTTTACTTTCCGACTTTTGTAACGTATAAGGAAAGTACCATAATGAACAAAAATTTCGAAAATTTTTTTTAGCGGAAATACACGTTTTAAGACCCCCTGGTCATATTGTGACTATTAAAAAGAAAGAATTTTTTTTTCGATGCTTTAACATGATTGCGTCTAAACGGCTAAATTAAATAAACACGCACTGCGATTATGTTATTTGTGAGTGTCTATGTGTACGTGTATCACGATTCTTCCGAGTTACTTACAAATAAAACTGTTATTAATTTTAAAATACACCGTCCGCGCGAACGCAGCTGCTAGCGGGTTGTCATTCTACAGGCGGAACTTTAAATGTTAATAACTTTGCAACGAAGCCTCTATCAACAAATTAGTATTCTTGATTTTCGTCTTATTTTGGCCTCTACTATCGCTCATTAAAACTTTTACTATAGGTAGCCGAACACCCTGTATATCGGAACAACTATGAAACAAGAGGTATAATCATTATTATCCATGGACTGATTATAGTCAAAGTCTAACCGGACTTTGAAATGAGAACTTAAAACTTAAATGTAAAGTTTCATTTAAATTCATTCAGCTATTTATACTCAATCGTATTAATAATATACATATGTGTGCTCATACATGGGAATAATAATAAAAAATTTCTTTTTTTTCAATAATTAAAATATGACCAGGGGGTCTTAAAACGTGTATTTTCGTAAAATAAATTTTACAAAATTTTTTTTCATTATGGGTACTTTGCTTATGTGCGCCTACATAGGTCGGAAAGTAAAAATAACTGGGCAGTCGAGAATCTCGGCTCGAGAATCCAAATCGTTTGCCGTTGACGGGAAGTCGGATTTCAGTTGTTAAGAGCGAGAAGGCAAATGTGAGCCTTTCTCTCTCGACTCCCACGAGGCGGTCCGAAATTACTTCGGGCAGCTTCGGAGAATCGAGAAAGAGGGCATGCGTCAGTTTGCCTTTGTCGACTTTCCGAAACTCCACGAGCTCACGTACGCGTGATCTGGCATGTGTGAGTTTGCACCCGACGGTGCTTTTCTGGCACCTCTGGCTGCTATCCCCGCCACTCCGTTAGACGCTAAGGAAGTTCGTCGTCACTATTGTCGATTTCGATGCACTCAATTATGCCCGATCTGGTCACACGGGTACAACCATACTAGGCCGTGCAGGGTCGCCACAAGTAAAATGATGCCACCGCCATCTGTAAATGTTTTTTTTTTTTACACGAAAATAAAATACCGCCAATTCAATAGTAATTGCACATATCTTAAATTTTTCTCCTGGACATTACAAAAGCAAAAGTTATCTTCAATTGTATTGCAGACACAAATATATAAACAGAAAATTCAAAAGTGTTGATTTGATTTCAGCTATTTAATGTTTTGACGTGTATGACAATGGCGGATTCTACGTTTATCATATATTTTATAGTATCATTGACGTTCAGTTTATGTCCAGGTGGGTGACAAATTTTTCAATTAAAGTGTAACTTTTGTGAATAAAAGGTAATAATAATTTAAACATAAAAACTTTATTCCCTTTTGGTTTAAGAACATATGAAATATTCGAAGTAATTTACCGTTGATTCTACAAAAGTCTTTTATGTTTACTTTTTTTCATCTCAATTTGTTCTTGTTTATTCTTGTTTATTCTTAATTTGATACTTATGTTCATAAAATAACTGCATGCTCATACATAATATGCACAGATAAGAAATAATGCTTGTAATGTTTTCAATTATTTCAATGGTTAATAGGACTCGTTTTTAGGAGAAACAGAAAAATTTACTTTGTCTGAACATGAATTTTCTCTTGAAAGTGAAGAACCACAGAAGTCTATGGATATTATAGATTTTAATGAAAATTCAGACGGATATCAGCGCTTTAAATGTCATATTTGTGAAGAACCAGATTGCTTATATACCGACATCTGCTATGATGCAGTCACTGTAATATGTTTTGTATTATTATATGTACTATAACTGAATTATATAAACTAATACTTTGTCTTTTATTTAATAGTGTTGGAAATCTAAGGTTAGACAATCTGATGGTACGGAAAGTGTAAGTAGAGGATGCACGTCGTCAATAGATCAAATGTTATTAACGTGCAACAAACAACAACCGCTACGTACAAATCAAAATGGTAATAATAGAAAGAGACATGTTACTGGATCCTCAAATGGTGTGCAATATTATGTTGAGTGTTGTCAAACAGATTTTTGTAACGGTGGGCCATTTCCTGTATTAGAAGATTTTAACAGAGGTGGGTATATGTGACATTATTATATTTCTTTTATTCGTGTATAGTTTATTCTTAATAAAATTCTATATAACTTATAGATAATGTTGAAGAGGATTATGCAATTAAATTAATATTAACTATTTTGGGTCCAATGGTTGGATTCTGTATTATTGCTGGAGGAGTGTTGTTTTATGTATTGGCATGTAGAACACATAGAAAACGGCCATTGACTACAAGGCATAGTAAGCTTGTCATAGATTCTGAAATGGAACCGTCTATTCTGCATTTTTCATTTTCATCTCCAACATCCACCACTACGTATCCTTCTCATGAACTGAGAGCAACTGCAGCTGGCGATAGCACGTTGAAGGTATGAAATAAAATTACAATTTATAATGGGTTAGATTGAGATTTTAGTTTAAGGCTAGTTTAGCTTATAAATTGTATGCATTTATCTCGGAAAGAACATTTATTACAAGAAAATTAATTTTAATGCATTCACTGCTAAGGACAAGGTATCTTATACCTGGCACCTATCCAAAGAGTGACATCGGTTACCTTTTTATTTAACTGCACTGCAATAGTGTTATCGAATTATGACAAATTTGAATAAGATTACTAGAATTTTATAGAAAAAAATTGATAGGCAGGGGTGCAAAAACAGTGTTTAAGGTTATTAAAATTTTTGATGGAGTCAAAATGTGAACATACACGTTATCGAAGACAGAGCGCAATATTTGATATTTTCTTCCATCATATAAATTATTGGTTCTTTATTTAAGTTGTATTGGACTAATATGTAAAGTGTTTCACGCAACTAAACAAGAGAATTAACCATGGTTCTCAAACCATAGAAGGTAGACAAAAATTTCATTAGGCAGACTTAAATGCTATTAGACAATGAATAATTTGGTGTACATGCCTACTCCCAAAGAGGAAACGTTCCAATGGTTTGAAGGTCACTACTACATTTTAAAAATGAAACTATAAATTTTTTTATATACTAATGAATGTACTATTAGCATGGTTTTCAGTGAATTTGCGACACTAGATGAAAAAATAATCTATGCAAAATCTGAAATTAATCAAACAACGGAAATACGTGGCACATCGAAGTTGAAAATTTTTCATTTTTAAAACCTGTTTTTCTCCATTAAAGTGTATTGCTATCATACATTTTAGTACCTCTTTGAATTTGCTTTTTACGCTTTATAAGAATATTGAAACAAAATTTAGATTTTTTGTCTTTTATACGTTGCGATTCTAAAATTTCAAAAAGGGTATAGCCGAATAAGGGGGTCAAATGTGCTCTGATAGAGCATCAGAAAAAAAACATTCTGTGCGAAGTTTCAACTCACTATCTTGTTCGGAAGGATAGTTATAGGGAAAATTCGGATTATCGAATTTGTGTCTATTTTCCGTATTTAATCGAGTACGAAAATTACGTAAAAAATCTGGTGCATTGTGGTTATCAAGATACGTGTTTAAAAATTTTTTCCGATTTTTCGATTCCAAATCATAGGTGTAAAAAATTAAAAACGCAAAAAAACACAGAAAAATACGGATTTCGTATTGAAGCTTTTGAGACACTAGATTTATATAATTACTGTAAATGCGTGTATTGTCGTTGGTTATTTCACTGAATTTTTTCAGATTTTTTGGTAGGGCACTTTTTGACGCTAGTTCGCACCCCGTTTAAAACACATCTTCTTTTTATTTTATTAATTATATATTTTTCCAATTTTCTATACTATAACTATATGAAATGAAAATCTATTTAAAATATTTAAAAAATATTTTCACCTAAAATATACATAAAAACAATTCGTAACTATATGTGTAAGGACTTAATGGATTGAGGGAATTAAGAACAGATGCGTAACAAGAACGATATATATTTTAACAGTGATACGTTGTAAAATCGTGGTCAGGATAGAACTCTGTGGTTCGTCCAACGCTTAGGGGTTTTATACCCCGATTCCTCCTTGTCGTTCGTGTGGCGACTCGGTCACTCTATAGGGCCACGTGTGACCCGCGTAAGTTTCGCGGAATCGCGGCGGCGACTGCCGCCTAAAGGCCCGAAAGCGAGTTCGCCGCCTAAAGGCCCGAAAGCGCGTTCACCGACCAAAGGCTCAAACGCGAGTTCGCCGACAAAATGCTCAAAGGCGATATACCGCTACCGCACACGTGTTATTGTCAATTTCCTTACATATGCAAATACTGCTTATGTTCTGTTTATTGAAGAAATCTTCTTCCACTATTCAAAGTTATTAAAGGTTTGCGATTTTAAAACTAAGTACGTATATTCATTTAACGTAGAAAAAATTAAACAGTGGGGTATTTAAGCAAATACACGACTAGAGAAATGATGGAATAGAAACTGCTCCATAATTGTTTTTGCGCATATTTTAGGTGAAAATATTTTTTAAATATTAATAAACAAATAGTTTTTCACTGTCGTTTAGTTAGAAATTGAAAAAAAAACAAAATTAGTATAATAAAAAAAATGTGCTTCAGCTGGGCGCGAACGCGCGTCAAAAAGTTTGCAGCAGTCTCACAGTCAAGCATCTTACTTACTGCACCATCGCAGCTCTTGAAAATACCGTTGATACTTCACAATATATTGCGAATAGCACTTTTTTTTCGTGACTTATTTTTGCTTTTCTTCTTGTATACACTGTTCTGCTCAACATAGAAATGTTTAAAACCATACAATATAGTTATCTATTAAAGAGAATACAAAAATTCAAAGTACAAGATGCTTTTTCACGCGAAAAACGTCGAAAAAATCGGTATTTGATTTTTGCTACTACGGCGCACCCTACCAAAAAATCTGAAAAAATTCAGGGAGATAACCAATGACAATACGCATTTACAGTAATTATATAAATCTAGTGTCTCGAAACCTTCAATACGAAATCCGTATTTTTCTGTGTTTATTTGCGTTTTCAATTTTTCACACCTAGGATTTGGAATCGAAAAATCGGAAAAAATTCTCAAACACGTATCTCAATAACCACAATGCGCCAGATTTTTTTCATAATCTTTGTACTCGTTTAAATAGGGGAAATAGGTACTAATTCGTTACTCCGGATTTTCCCTATAACTACCCTTCCGAACAAGATAGAGGGATAAAATTTGGCACAGAACGTTTTTTCTTGATGCTCTATCGATGGATCCATCGTATGTCATATTTGGTTCAAGGGCACATTTGACCCCCTTATTCGGCTATACCCTTTGTCTGTAGAAAATGTTATAGTTAATTCGTAAAAAATTCTCCAAAGAAGTTAAAAAAAATACACTTCACACAAGAAGACCCCTTCAATTACATTTATACTCAACAAAGAAAAAATAAAGTAAACAAATAAAAATATGCTCTTTTTAATTATTAATCAGATAATGAATACATTAGTGGATGAAATATTTTTAATTTTTATTTCAATGAAGACATTTTGCTTATCAGAAAAGTAAGGCTTTATTTTTCTCTGTTTGTTTATTTTGCGTTGCAGATTATTGTTAAAATATATATTGTATATATGGTATATGTTACGATAGGAATACTTGGATGGAAGGAGTTTAACCAGTGGTTCTGGATCTGGCTTACCACTGTTAGTCCAAAGAACATTGGCTAAACAAGTAGCATTAGTAGAATGCCTGGATAGTGGAGGTAATGGCGGATTTGGCGGAGAAGTTTGGAGAGGAATATGGCACGGAGAAAATGTCGCTGTAAAAATATATTTTTCACGAGATGAAGCAGCTTGGGCACGCGAAACAGAAGTTTATTCCCAGTTGTTGCCATCGAGACACGATAATATTCTTGGCTACGTTGGAAGCGACATGACGAGTAGAGCGAGCTGCACTCAGCTTTGGCTGGTAATGCATTATCATCCAATGGGTTCACTTTACGATTATTTAAATCGATCGCCACATTCTTTGATGCATCATCAAATGCTCAGTATCTGTTTGAGTATTGTCAACGGATTGCTTTATCTACATACGGAAATTCATGGAACCAGAGGAAAACCGGCTATGGCACATCGGAATCTGAAGTCTAAAAATATTCTTGTTAAAACTAACGGCAGTTGCGTGATTGCTGATTTTGCATTGGCGGTGACACAAGATCAACTGTCTACAGATAGAATCGATCTGAAACAAGGGACAAAACGTTACATGAGTCCAGAAATCCTCGAACAAACGTATGTACTATTTATTATATACTTTATTTTATAGTAGGAACTTATACCGAAATGGAAAATACCGATATTTTCGGTTGTATCCCTTAACTCTAGTAAAAACCAAAATTCAGGAATACCGGTATATGTATTTACCTATATTCACCGGTAATCTTGTCAAGTTTTAAATTTTATTATGATTTTGAAAATTCGTTTTAAACAGATTTCCGAAACTAGTATTATTTTGTTATCATTATTATACTTACTGGCAGTCTCTTATACCACAACTGATATAATACTGACATTGCTATGATATCGAAACGAAAATAATTAGTAGATATACTATAGATACATAGATTTTAATTCCAGTCTTACGGGCAAGCAATGGATTTTGTTTATACTGTATTCCTTGGCTCAGCCATACAAATAGTCATTCCCTAACGTGTCTATTATCTTCTTATTCTAAATTATATCTAAATAATATCTAACACATATCTTTAATTTTCATATAATCTTTGGAATTACATTTGGCTTTGTTGCATTTTTAACATTTTCTTTTTCTTATGTACTAATCTTAGCCACCTTTCTACCGCCTTATTCCTTCTTCCTTTCACTAAAAAGAAAATGCTTTATCATTCTATACTCCCTTTGACATAATTTGCTTTTTCGTTTTTCTTGATCAAGCAATTATTCCTTACTTCTGTGTTGTTGCATCTTGCTCTCGCAGTTAGTCTTCGACTATACCTTCCTTTTTTAGATATTCAGCACAAGTTATAATTGTTATTAACTTCTACCTACTATTGCGAAATACTGTTTTTGTATTTTACACACAATTAAATCCTTGGTCTCTTAATCTTTCTAATCCTGTTTGACTGAATCCATTTCTTTTTAGATACTCTTCCCTCTTTTAGCTGTTTTTGGTATTTCCTCTCTTCTTTTCTTTTTCCATTCACACTTCCTTTACTAATCTATGTCTTTCGTATTCGTTCCTCATATTTCATTGCTCACATTCCCGCTTTTATTCTTACTTTCTCCAATTTTGTCTCTTCTAATATTACGTATGCTGGCGGAATAACTCCAAGTTTAATGCCCATCTCAGATATTTTAGCTATACTCTTTCTAATTCCGGTCTTTCTTTCAATCCAAACAGTTCTGCATCATAAAACATTACTCCCATAACCAGGTAATTAAACATAAACATTCTCCTCTTAAAATCATTTCTAAATTGTCTCTTCTATTCCCCATTCCCCTTTTTTTAACATGCCCGCTTACGTCGTTGAAATTTCACGCCTAGATACAGAAACTCTTTCACCGTCTCAATTTCTTTTTCTTTCCATGTCCACACTTACTTCTTGTTTCTTCCTCCACTTTTCCTGAAAATTCATTTTCTATTTTTCCACATTCAGTGTTAATTTTCTCTCGTGCAGATACTATTCGAGTCTTTTGATCATATTCTTCATATTCTGTGCTGTGTCTAATATTACGATTACGTCATTCGCATACAGGGTGTCCACGCTAAAGTGTGACAGTCGCGATATTTTTTTTTCACTGCGGTGCACCAAAATAAAGAATCTGAAAAAATGAGAATAATAATAATAACAATACCCGTTTACTGTAAAAATATAAAAGTAGTTCCGCAACTCCTTCAATGCGTAATCAGCATTTTTCAGCATTTTTTGTGGTTTTTTATTTTTTACTACCTGGTTCTTCAATCAAAAAATCTGAAAAGCTTCCAAAATATGTGCCCCGGTACCCAAAATGTCTCTGAAACTTTTTACATTTTTTCACTTAATAGGACAAGAGAAATTGTACAAAAACATGATTTTCGTTATCGCCCCATTACTACCCCCACCGTCGGGATTTCAAGTTAAAAATTGGCTCATAGGGTTTTCTATCGATAAGATATCGAATGACCCATCGCACGTTCAATTTGGTTTGTTGGCACATTTGACCCCCTTGTTCGGCTATACCCTTTGGACTATATTTAGTGAGGAAATAAAAAATAATATAATTCCAGTAGTCAGTCGCCAGAGACAGAATACGACTGACCATTGAATGCATTAACATAATAGACAGCTTTAAATAATTAAAGTATTTAAACTTATAATTTTAGCACTATTCTGTTCTTTTATTCCGTATTATATCTATTTATTTTTTGGATAAATGTTTACTTTAGTGGCCTTGCCCTAAATACGTATATTTTTGGATGGTTTTTTTAAAAAAGACCATACTTTAGTATTGAAAATAATATAGATCGCGGAAGGTGAAAAACTAATGTGCTTTTGCATTTTTTTCTTTCAAAAAAAAAGGTAAAATATTAAGAAACTAGTGTCCGTGAAGCGATCTCGATGAGTTGTTAGTATGTTGTAGAAAATAAGATTGTGAACAACTTTTATCTGAACAAAAAATTGTCGCTGGGCCTCAGTTTTTGGAATATTTGCAAGAATTGTTGGTACTACCCTATTTGATCTGCCTGTACGTGCGCCGCACAGTGGGGCCCCATTGCATGCCAAACGCGGCAAAAAGTGGTTTTATACAAATATACCCACAATGAAATAATGATTCACTAATAGTTAATGGGACACATGGGCCATCATTTAGTGTGATTTTTTTTATCATTTGTCGATTTTTGATACGACTACATGATTTTGAAACGTTCAATCTTAAAATCATCCAAAATTATAATCATCGTTTATTGTTGCTTTGATTCTTCAAAGTAAATGATGAGTAATTGAATTAAATGTACTTAGTACGTATTTAAATTACGAATGAAGAATCAGATGAAGAATCATTCATAGATTCATAAATTCTTTCGTTTTCTCTTCGTAAAGGTCGTGTCGTCTATTCGCTAATTGCCATCTTCTCTTGAAACGGGACTTCAAAGTTGCAATTTTTGTTTTCAAAATTTTCTGGTACTCCACAGAATAATTATCCTGGCTCATTAAGGACGACTCTAAAAATTCTAGTTTATTTTCAAAATCATGATTTTGATGCTGTGTCATGATGTTATAAAACTGCATCATTAAAAACACACGTACTCCTGATGAACCTTAGGATTTAAAAAAAAATGTCACTCTATTAAAATGAAACTTTTGCTACGAAAATTGTATTAACAAACTATATAGAAGATGAAGAAAAATGGCGAAATTCAAATATATATATCTGTACCTACCTACTTCAATTGGAAATTCCATTATTTTAACACTAAATATTTCATTCACAACATACAAGATAGGAACCTCAAACGACAAATGCTCCAAATTCGTGATCATTTTATGCTTTTATAGCATTCGAAGCAAAAACAATGAAATGTATGCATTGCTTCCTAGTTTTGATGTATTTTTGAGAATCGTAACAATACTCGCAATCGCCGACGCTTGCACGTGCCGAAACAGTTGATCATCTTTATATTTTTCGCAGTAGCAGCTAGTAGCAGCTAATTTTTTTTTTTAAAAAAAGGTAAGGCTTCACTCTACAAAAAGCAACTAAAATGAACACTGAATCACACTGCATTTATAATTAAAAAATAAAATGAAAACTGAACATGTTCAATTAGTTATAACTCAAAAAATGTTGGAGATATAAAAGTGTACTTTGGTGTAATTTAAATACGTACTAAGTACATTTAATTCAATTACTCATGATTTACTTTGAAGAATCAAAGCAACAATAAACGATGATTATAATTTTGGATGATTTTAAGATTGAACGTTTCAAAATCATGTAGTCGTATCAAAAATCGACAAATGATAAAAAAAATCACACTAAATGATGGCCCATGTGTCCCATTAACTATTAGTGAATCATTATTTCATTGTGGGTATATTTGTATAAAACCACTTTTTGCCGCGTTTGGCATGCAATGGCCCCACTGTGCGCCGTAGGTGCGTTGTGTCTGCAAGGGACCGCCGATTGTCCTCTGTTCACAACGGGGTGACCGACAGGCGAGCGTATACAGGGTGTCCCGTAAATAGTGTAAGAACCGGAAATGGGGGGTAGCTGAGACGATTCTGAACAACAATTTCCTTTGCAAAAATGTCGGATGGAGCTTCGTTTTTGAATTATTAACGAAAAACACTGACCAATCACGGCGCTCGCCTTCCGCGCGCTCAGGGCCGTCCGACCTCGGAGAGCCACCGCGCTGGGTAGGTAGCAAGATGCGCGTTGAAGATACATCGAGGAACGAATGCAAATAATTAAAAATACTACCACTACAACTGTTACCTAATTCGTTAATTACTACGTAATTAGTACGTAAATTACTAAATCGAATTTATTAATTATTTGTATTCGCTGTTTCCAAGGAAGAAGGAATAAAATCTCGGAATTTTTAGGAAATTAACCCTTCGCACCCGAGTGACGCTTCTCGCCAGACTGTTTTAAAATTAAAATAAGAATTACAACAATTCAGGAGGGAGCAACATCCATACACCGTTATCAACCCAGGAAGAAGGGTGCAACGGAACGCACCGGTGTGTGAATGTGAAAAGTGCCAGTGACCGTGCTGTGAAGTGTTTTCGGGGTAAGAAGTGGGTGCAGTGGCCGGGCCGTCCCATCAGCTGATTTTCGTTGGGGTCTTCGACTTTGCCGTGATCGATAGCGGTTCACTGACCGGGCCCTATTGTCTGCGCAGCAGGTAAGTCGAATTTCAATTATTTCTCTATTAACCCTTTGCATTCGAGGAATGTTTCGGCACGCAGAAATCCAGTCTGCTTTTTCAGTACAGTTTTTAATAACAGACGGTTACAAATGGTTCTTACCGTATTTATTTTAATTTTCTGATAATAATTCTTATTGTAATTTTAAAACACTCTGGCGAGAAGCGTCACTCGGGTGCGAAGGGTTAATTTCCTAAAAATTCCGAGATTTTATTCCTTCTTCCTTGGAAACAGCGAATACAAATAATTAATAAATTCGATATAATAATTTACGTACTAATTACATGGTAATAAACGAATTAGGTAACAGTTGCAATGGTAGTATTTTTAATTATTTGTATTCGTTCCTCGACGTATCTTCAACGCGCATCTTGCTACCTACCCGGCGCGGTGGCTTTCCGAGTTCGGACGGCCCTGAGCGCGCGGAAAGCACGCGCCGTGATTGGTCAGTGTTTTTCATTAATAATTCAAAAACGAAGCCTCATCCGATATTTTTGCAAAGAAAATTGTTGTTCAGAATCGTCTCAGCTACCCCACAATTCCGGTTCTTACACTATTTACGGGACACCCTGTAGATTAAAGCATACTAGAAAGAACAGCAGGATTTACATATACGAACGAAGATGTCCACCACATGCTTCTAATTAGTTCTGATCTCTACATAAATGCATTTCGTACTGAACCTAAGACAACTGTTTATTGATATAAACGATGATGTTAAAAAACTTCTTGTGCCTAAATAATTATCAGCATACATTTATATATCTATATATAATTATTAATATAGATGTGTGAATAAAAATTTGATTATAAAACGTTAGTTGTAATTGTGAATAAAATTTCTTTACGTATTTATATTACACTTCAATTTATTTCATCTACGTAATTGTATCTAACAAAGTTATAATATAAGATTTACATTATTACCAAAGAACGTTATACATATCTCGACTCTTATCGACTCTTACCGGCTAAAACCCCATGGTAAACCATCACAGAGTCCCCCGCCGCGCCGTGCCTTTTCAGGTCCCTTCCGGTGGGAGGCACTCCTCCCACCGCATTCCCATTCAACAGTAGGCACCTGGTCACCAGCGCTCGCGGCCCCGTGACATGGGACTAAGCCGCCGGCCACGTGGCCACGTTGGTCTCAGCCAACTGGCCAACCTGCGGCCTTAGGTAAAACCCGCGGCAAATATCCCGTGTCCCAGTCCACTCACACACACGTTCACACACGCAACACATTCATACCGGTGTTTGGTCCGCGGGAGCTTTCGCACCGACCTCCGGGATACCATGCGAGGATCCGGTCATCAGCCTTCTCAGGTTGATGACCTCATCCCCGCATCCCATCCCAGCGGCTGCCCCTATCCGCCACCTGGGGACGGCGTCACGTAGGGGTTCACCTCTCCTGCCGCCTGAACAACCAAACAGGTGCGTGGTCAACCAAACGGATGCGTGGGCCCCTGTGCTGTCCCGCGGAACTTCAAGTCAGCGGAAGACAGTAGTTAATAGCGCGTTGTTCTTCCCTGTTGTCGTATAAAGAAAATAAAGACAATAAAATATTATTTCTTAATGTATAACGTTATGTACAATAATATAAACAACGTAAAAACAAGAAAAAGTATTTAAACAATCGGTATTTTGGTAGAACCACTTGCTGTACGGTACAACGTCAAACAAGTTCGTACGAATTTTGTTAGCATAGAAATAAAAGTAGTTTTTTCAAAAGACTATGCAATCGAGCGGAGTACTTGCAGTCTTTGAGCTTTATAATGTATACAAGATGTTCCAGATTCAAAGTGCCAAACTTTGGCCGTACATACTATGGATCTCGATAGGAAAAAATGTTATATTAACATGGATCGTTTAACGTATTATTAAAAAGTTATAAACAGAAGTATGAAATTCTAGTTTCTGTTACATTTAGGAACGGCTACTACCGTTAGCAATACAATATTGATAACGGTTGAAAATGTGTTGAAACAGTTGTGTAGAATTTTGTTCCTTTTCTATTATTGAAAATGCACATTTCATGTATATCAACTTATCGACGATAAGCGGAATTAATTAAAAATAATAGCTATGCTTAAAATCTTTTCAGGATAAGTGTGGAATGTTTAGAAAACTTCAGACGAGCAGATATTTACAGTTTGGGTTTGATACTTTGGGAGGTTTGTCGAAGGTGCATATGTAATGGCGTTGCGCTCGAATACATGGCACCGTATTCTGAGTGGCTTCCTAGTAATCAAGAGCCGTCCATTGATGAAATGCGAAAATTAGTGTGTTTGGATCATCATAGGCCACCTCTTCCTAATAGATGGCATTCTGATCCCGTAATTATCTAATTTATTATTTACTAATTAACAATTTTAAAATATTATGATGATTATTACTGTTTAAGTATTTAATAACAAATTATTGGGAACAGGATGACCCACCTAACCTCAACATTTAAAATCTTTCATTTATTATCAATGGTATAAAACAATATTAAAAAATAACATCGTTTATTTGGAAGAAGCAAATATGATGAGCAAGCAATTTTGTTTAAGATAATATTTTTCGAGATTTCATGGTCATCGATGTTTTTTTAAACGGAGTGACATACATATTTATTATTGGACTATCGTAGCTAAAAAAGGAATATATTCAATCATGTATGATATATTGACTAACAGATGATTTTCAAATCTATTATCGTTAATTTTCATATATTCCTTTATGATATTTGAAAATGTTTAACCTCTTCACGCCCTTGGCCACATATGTGGACGTTTAGTTTTTTATAATTATAGTTACTGTCAATAATAAATAGACCAAAATTTTCACTACAGATTATAAAAAAAAAAAATCGTCCCTGAAGAGGATAAACACGGACATTAATCATTTTGTGTATTTCCTGAAATAAAATAAGTATACATTTGTACCGCAACACGTACATTAAAACATAGCTTTTGTAATTTAAAATCATTTGAATGACAACATATATAAGTTTGAACGTATTTTTTTTTATCAGCTCAAAATCACGGAAAATATGATCTTTAAAAAAAATTGTTTGTTCATTATAATGGTTACCTTTCTCGAATTATTAATATTTTCTTTCAATACCTTATTCTATCATCAAAAACAAATTAGGTATTTAAGATATTCGAGTTAGGTGGAACGTCCTGTATATGTCAGTAAATCTGCATGTAATGTTGTTTTCAAGTTCAAAGATGCTTAATGATTTTATGAAAATATAATAAACAATTGATAGGTTCTTTATAGTTTAAAGGCGAAAATATGATTTTAAAGTAGAAATTTTTCAATTTTAAAATTTCAATCAGAATTAATTCGACTTGCAATTTCTATCATGTTAAAAGTATACATATAACTACATAAAAACAATGGAGCTACGCTGTCGAGTGAAGTTTGCAACAAGTATAAAAATCGGGCACGTACTTATGCAATCATCCAATATAATTATAGAATAAATAAACTTTTGAAAGTAAATTAGATAACAGACCTCTTTTTGTGAGTTTATAAATATTGACACTCCTATTAGTCTTGTGTTGTAATATTGAGCAGATAGTTGGTACAATCAAATGAAGACAAAAAGTTGCTTACAAGTTGCAGAACAAGTGTTTGAGTTTATAATTATTTACGGCATTTAGCAATTAGAAGTTGTTTTCTCTACTTTAATTGATTTTAATGATATTGCAGAGGCTCGCCTACTGTATAATCGTTTATGTAACTTTAATGTTTTATTCCATGGTAAGATCGTTTGTTAGTGATTTTATTCTTCAAGATTTCTACAACTCGAAACATTTCGGAAAACTTTTCTAACGTTCATATTATTTTCTATACTTTTTACTGCGACATAGACACAGATACGAAGGTTTCACCATATTTGATATATTCTGGTTTTTGAAAATTTATTGACATACAGGGTGCACCAAATAAAGTATTGCAAGCTATTTTCTCAGAATCTAATAAAGATACCCACTTCAGATTTCTTTAAACTAATTAAATCAATCTTTTAGTTCCTCATACATTTTTAAAGGACCAACTGTAGAGGGAAAAAGAGGGGGCCCCCATATTTTAAAAACTGAGAAGTGACATTAATTTTTTCGTTCTTGTGATAGCTCTTATCAAATTGAATAACATTTGCTTGAACCATTTTCTCCTATTCTGTAAATTTAGAAACCTATCGCAAAAAATTCGATCCATATTTAAGAAAACAAACGGAATGCGATAAAAATGAAACATTATTTTATAAAATGTTTAATATGATGTCCTTGGACTCTCAAGAACTTAGTAAGTTGTTTACAAATATAGTAATGATTCTTACACCGAACTCGAACCATGATTTATAAGTTGAACATTTTAATCCCTTCCAACCGGGACAGCCCTCTTGGAGCCAGTGAAGCATGAAAGATGACATCTAGAAACGGTGTTTTAAAGACAATGCTTCCTTTCTTATTCTCTGTCCTTTTCTTCGGTTGTCGAGCAACTGTTTAAGTGTGCAGAATAGAAAAAATGGTTCAAGTGAATGTTATTCAGTTTGGTGAGAGCTATCACAATAACAAACAATTAAAAGGCACTTTTCCCCCCAATAGTTGCTCCGCCAAAAATGTGATAGAAACTAAAAGATTGGCCCCTCTGAACCTGTAACACTATACTTCATGCACCCTGTATATTTTAATTGTTCTAATATACGTTGCGTACATTCAGACTTGAATGTCAACTAATTTTTACTTTGCAGACGTTGGCCGGTTTGGGAAAATTAATGAAAGAATGTTGGCATGGGAAGTCAGCAGCACGTTTACCTGTTCTTCGAGTGAAGAAAACACTTGTTAAATTAGCAGCTAACGATACGCGTGTTCATTTGCCCCTTGATTAAATAGCATGTATAAAATTATGTATTATTTTACGCGCGTATTTATTAGTACTAAGTAAATAAGTTCTTTGCCGTGTTTTAAATTTACTTATTTTTGCGAAAATATGACAGAAGTATATCAAATTTATGCTACTCTATTATTTGTAATATACATCTTAAACTTTTATCTTCTCTTGTGTTATTTTAATGTACATATTTATAAATAACGCGACATAACGTGCTACTTGGTAAATGTGTAATCTATGTGTACATAATTAGAATATTATTTTATTTTTATATCATTCTATTCATCGTCGATAATGATATAAAAGTAAATTATGACTAAATTTCAAAACGTCACTTGGTAAATAATTCGTTTGGACATTATTTCATCATTTTATATAAAATGTTGTAAATGTATTGTGCACTTTGTGGAGTAATTCTCATGTAATGCAATTTGTGTTTGCGTGTAATGTTTACATTGAAAAATGTATACTTCAGTTTTTATCAATGCAGTTACATTTTATCCTGATAATCTGAAAATTTCTTCTACGATCCTTATAATTTACACAAATGTTATGTTCAAAATATATTTTCGTTACCTGTCCTATTAATAATTAGTGTTTGATATATGACTCATCGTTAGTTCATAAAGTACTGATGTAACGAACGATATTCTTATTGCCTTCACAACACTGTCATTTGAATGCCAGAATTCGAAACTGTTTTCAGATAAAATTAATGTCGATTTATTACGATTATAATGCATAAAATTTTGTAGCATTCGGTAACAGTTATTTGTTTAATACATTTATTTGTATATTGAATCTTTTTATGAATATGTTTGTACGAGGGTCATTTGGAGGTTCATAGCCTTCTGTAGATACAAATAGTGTTTGAATCGTCAAAAATGGAACGCCATTGTAAACATTTACTTGTTTTATGAAAATAATTCTAAAAACAATTTTTATACAGTAATTTAATTTCTGAAATCAATGAACCAACTGATTTTACCTTCCCGACTGTCATTGGATATAATAGAGGTTTTAAAAAAAAATTACAGTTACAGAATTATGTATGCGCATGTTAACCTATATTTTGTTATATATTTTACGGGCATTTCGTATAAAAATTAGTATAGTGATTTCCCTACGGTGTGACACCGTAATATGTTGTCCAACTTTTTCGTATGACATTCTTCTTAAGAATGATAAAAGTTCATCTAAATCATTTACATTGAAATTTTGTATGAATAACTGTCACACACAGAAGTATGACCACAGTCTACATTTTCTTCTGTTACAATAATAATTTATCGGAATATGTTAGGTATTTTTAAACGTCTCCAACAGTTTGAAACATTGATTGAAACGAATATCGGAGCAGAAGGAAAACATTTACAACAATTTATTTAAATACGTTTTATGCATTTCTAAAATATCATATTATAAACAAAATGTATCTATATCTTCGAAAGGAAGAGTTTCTCGGTGTACATTTATACAGGGTGTTCGGCTACCTCTCGGAAAACATTTGAAGGGAGAGTCGAGAGCCCAAAATAAGACAAAAATCAAGAATACTAATTTGTTAATTGAGGCATCGTTACAAAGTTATTAACTTTTAAAGTTCCGCCTGTAGAACGGCAATCTACGAATAGCTACGCGTGCGCGATAGTGGTTCTCACTCAGCATGAGAAACTTTACTTACTGACGTATCGATAGCCTTTCAGTTTTGTGAGTGAGAACCACTAGAACCGACTCAATTGACAAATTAGTATTCTTGATTTTCGTCTTATTTTGACCTCTAGAATCTTCTATTAAATTCTTTCCGAGAGGAAGCCGAACACCCTGAATAATAATTCATCCTTAGAAAGTGCAGAATACGCTGTCAAATTGATATAAATTAAAGTGCCGAATTATTCAAAATTGTAACTAAGAAAATGGATTTTAGAACAAGAAAATATGCTCGTATATATATACTATACATATATGTACGAATGTGAAAAGCAAAAAATGGTCTTCTAGTTTTATCCTTGTGATTTTCTAATTTTTTTATTAGAAGTATTCACTATGAATTTGACGCACTTTAAATCAATACCAGGAAATAAATATAAATCGAATAAATTTAATTTTTGTTAAACGATACCGAAAAAGTTCTGCAAAATCATTGCAGCTTTTTCATTTGGCGATCGATCAAAATGGAGGCCGAACTAGTAAGAAAGATTGTATTGTTTCATTACAACGGCACACACATTGGTAATTAGGATAATCAAAATCTGTAAAATTGGTTTTAATTAGTACCGCAAGTAGGATATTCCACTGATATAGTTCAGTGCGAATTTTGTAATAAAAAGAAGCATAATCAAGTTACAGTATTGTTGAACCAAATACAGGTAACCCTCCTATAACACGTGTTATATGAGACCCAAAGCCAGTACAAAAAGGGGGGTTACGTTTCGAAAACTTATTAAAAATAAATATTTTTTTAAATTCTACTTAAACAACTTAATTTTTATGAAAAATATAAATGTATGTATATGATAGTTTAGAATATGCACTCGGTATTTATATACGTGGATGTAGAAGGATTTCACACAGTCAGACACGTTTTTCGGTTAACAATTTATCACAACATACTTTTTAAATATATACACATACAGTTTGTAACAGTGCTGCCAAAATTGACACTTATAACAGTATAACACAAAACAAAAAAAAAGACAAAAGATATTATTTTAATTTGACACAACCTTAATTTAATAAATTATAATTTGTTTATATATTTTCATGTAAAGCCACTATAGTTCATTATTTTGAGGTAATTTAGTTTTTAAATATGTTAAGCAAAAATCATGTTATCCAGTGCTGTAGAAGTACAATATTGTACAAAGGTTTTCGCAATTTTCTTATTGTGTTAAAGCGAAACCGTGTTATAAGATGCCATGTTGTAGGAGGGTTCTCGCAATTTATGAATCGTGTTATAGGATACCGTGTTGTAGGAGGGCTACCTGTACATTAATCTTAAAGGAGATTGTATTGAAAAATAAAAAAAAAATACTCTTCTTTTACGCGTGCTTATGAAATTTTCAAATAACCCTTGTACATTTATTCAAACATATTTTGTATTAAGAAATCATTTTCATTTATCTGTACTAGAAAGATTCAATGTATGGAGTATGATAAAAGCTCAGGTTTCCAATTAATTTTATACGTGAGGCGTTGCATACAAAATCGGAAATTTTTTGGTACAAAACGTCGAATTTTGCTGAAATTTAGATATATAGTAATCTCTAAAAAATGTCGAAAATATTTAATTTTACAGCTGTTTTAAATATACCTACTCCTAACTTTCTTTCAATAAATGATAAGTGTTAAACTACTAGATGGATGTGAATGAACTTTTGGATACTTACAGAAAAAACATAGGAGTACTAAATAAAAATTACTTCAGTTTTTTTTTAACAAATACGATTTTATGAAAACCAATGAAAATTGAAAAATTGAAAAATAAAATAACGATGTAGTACTTAACTTCTTTTCGAAAAATTTTTTTAAAATTTGGGCACTTAAAAATTAGTCATATGAAAATTGATTAATACAAATGCAAATATAACTGTCATATAAATCACGATATTCGGTTATATACATATATCCGAAACCGAAGGAGTGGTTCTATTATACATACCAAAATAAAATGAAATTATATTATATTATACAACAGATTTAAGCATAGTTTATTTGAATAATAGAATAAACTCTGATACATACATACACTTTTAAAATTTGGTGATATAGCTTGTTATATTATTATTTTAAAGTAATCCAGACTTATAGGCTTCCATTTTTAAGTTCTTTCCAGGAATCTATAAATGTGATCCTGATCCTACAATGCAGTTTATTCTACAAACTTTCTATAAGATTCAGAATTATATATAATCAATGGTATTTTGTACTAAATTGTAATGAAACAAATTAAAATATTTATTCTTATCGATAATAGTATCTATAAAAACTTATTTTTTAACTCCAGTGCTCGAAATTCAGTTTCAGACATGATTCTGTATTTCAAATTTGTACGTATTTACAAATTTTATTTGTAACGGAAAAATTAGTATTATATCGTTTGAAAGAAAAAATAAATTTGATCAAATTAACCACTTTTATAACTCTAAGTGAAGAACTTACGACCTACTGTTAAATATGGCAGAGGAAGTGTCTGCGATTTAGTCTTGTCTTATTGCATATAAGTACAAAAATTTAAATGGTTAAGTAATAGTGAGCAATTTCTCATTTGCCCCTATCTGGGCGCGATAGTACTTCAATTAATTTCCATATAACTAATTTTAAATATCCGTATTTTCAAAGAATTTGCCCCCAATGACTATAAAATTACAACTTGAAATGATTGCAATGAAAGTGGTTAAAAAAGTTTTTATTTAGTACTATATCTTCATTGTAAGTATTTAGAAGCTCATTGGTATACGTTTGTTAATTCAACGGTTATAACTTTTGAGAGAAAGTTAATTTTATGTTTCAAACAGCTGCGAAATCAACAATTTTCAAAATGTTGAGAATCTTTACAGTATAACGTTTAAATATTCATAAAGACTACAATATATGTATATCAGAATGTCAGTAAAATCCGAAAAATAGCTTCGAAACGTATTCAACTTCGCACGCAATGACCCATATGTGTTATTGTGAAAGTGTAAATTACAATAAATCTACTGATAAGCTTTGGCGGATGTATACTAATAGATATAGAATTTTATACAAATTTATATATTTTGTAAGAGTTATTTGCAGTTTTTGAAGAAAATATTTCGTATTGCAGTTTATGTTAGATAATGATATGATTATATTGTCAGACGTCCTATCTAAATCACTACACTGCTATTTGTTACTAAAACTTTTAGTTTTTAATGTACACTATTACTAAATGTAAATAATTTATGTATAATACTTACTAGTGAAAGTATTACTAATCTAGCGAGTGTACACTTTTACTAGTAAAATTACTATGTGTAAAAATTTGCTAATTCCATAAAAAAAAAATAGCGAACTTCAAATATCTAAATGTCTTCGATTATAA